AAAAATGAAAGCATACATTTACACTTTTTGAATTTGAAAGAAGGAATGATATAATCGTGTAAGTAATTTAAATAGGTATTAATACTAGTACCATCATTGCCATAGGCCGCACTGAACACTCCATAGTTTGATATATATATATATATATATATATATATATTTTTATTTCCAATCTTTAGTTGTAATACATATACATGACAAAACGAGACAAGCATCCTTCCACACAAAACAAGCATCCTTCTACACACACGTTGCTACTTACATACTGCTTACAGGCCTCCTCACCACGTCATGTCTTACTCATCACCCTCACTACTCATTATTTCCCATTGTCATCATCACCCAACATCAATACCTTCATCATCTTCAGTATCTCCCTAATTGTCAACATACACTGAACTACATCACAATCATTCACATTCATTATCATTATCCCTATTCTCACGCATCCTCCACCCCCTCCTCCTCCTCCTCCTCCTCATCATCATCATCATCATCACCATCGTCATCATCATCATCATCATCATCCTAACATCATCATCACCATCGTCATCATCATCATGTTTGATCTGGATCTTACATTTTCTCTCACCCTTCCTAACTGTTTCCTATGACTCAAATGTATTTTATAGACAAGCCCCTGGATTTCATAATATTACTAAATTGCTTCCATTATTTTGTATAAATCATGAGTTCATTTGATTGAGTTTATAGCCAGGCAGGTTAAAAGCATTTTTAAGAGAAAATTGATGTGCTTTCCTTGCATTGCTTACTACTATTTCTCCCGTTATAATATGACAAATGCGTTATATTCTATTCTCACATTTCAATCTCACACTCTTCATGATCGTCCCATTTCATATCCAATAATGGCACATAATCGGTCTCCCTATAAAAAAAATCTCACTCGTCTTTCAAGTCTCCGGGACATTAGACAACCGACTACCAGAATGACTTTCTCAATGCACAGTTCAGTACTCCCCATAATGATCCTCTCTTTGAAATACTTCCAAAGCGTTTACATTTTATAATTCATCGTAATGTAACATGTTGTAATGTGTTTTCCTCTTCTTGCATTTTTAATTCTATTTCATTCAACGTAACAGTATGTCAAATGAGCTATTCCATTCTCACATTTTGATCTCTCACTCCTCATAATCCATACTAGGTATATAGATATATAACCCAATTTTAACAATATCTCGACGATTTGTAGTTTTGCTGATTAATGTTCGCGTTCATCACACTATTTCTATTAATATTTCATTGTGAAAATATAATCCACTACCTTCTCCCCACAAAACAAGATCTTATTTTCATTCCTCCAACATTTATTGCTATGCGGATATCGAATTTGTATGAAGGATGTCGTCGATAATGCGCAGACAGTTCTGGAACACCTGGTCTTATAATCCTTGTAATATAAGAGTCTCTGTGTAAATCTTTCTTTTGTTACAATTTTGTCCGAGTTCTACTTAATTTGATTGTTGACGTTTTGGTATTTTCCTGTTTATCTATTTATCTATTTTATATTATATATTATATATAATTTTGAATTTCATATTCAGTCAAACTGTACTCAGATAGTAACTACATTTCTAAACATAAAAACATTATTATTATACATATATTTATATAATTACAGTGTTTAATTACTATAACAAGCTTACAGGTAACGAATAATTATATTATACTATGTCATCATACAATAATGTCTATTCCCAGTGTTTAATGCAGATATTGAAAAACAAGCTTATAATCAATTATACATTGATTACTGCATCATCAAGATATCTCTCCTACATCATCGACTGATGTGCATAACTTAAATTGGGCGTACTATCCTCAAGGACTGATGTGGTATAATCTAGCCTAGGACACTTTGTCCAAAGGACTGATGCGGTATAATCTAGCCTAGGACACTTTGTCACAAGGACTGATGTGGTAAAACCTGGCCTAGGACACGTTGTCCCAAGGACTGATGTGGTATAACCAATCCTAGGACACTTTGTCCAAAGGACTGATGCGGTATAATCTAGCCTAGGACACTTTGTCACAAGGACTGATGTGGTATAATCTAGCCTAGGACACGTTGTCCCAAGGACTGTTGTGGTATAACCTAGCCTAGGACACTTTTTCCCAAGGACTGCTGTGGTATAACCAAGCCTAGGACACGTTGTCGCAATCACTGATGTGGTATAACCAAGCCTAGGACACTTTGTCCCAATCACTGATGTGGTATAACAAAGCCTAGGACATTTTGTCACAATGACTGATGTGGTATAACCAAGCCTAGGACACTTTGTCCCAATCACTGATGTGGTATAACCAAGCCTAGGATACTTTGTCCCAATAACTGATGTGTTATAATCTAGCCTAGGACACTTTGTCCCAATCACTAATGTGGTATAACCAAGCCTAGGACACTTTGTCACAATGACTGATGTTGTATAACGAAGCCTAGGACACTTTGTCCCAATCACTGATGTGGTATAACCAAGCCTAGGACACTTTGTCCCAATCACTGATGTGGTATAACAAAGCCTAGGACATTTTGTCACAATGACTGATGTGGTATAACCAAGCCTAGGACACTTTGTCCCAATCACTGATGTGGTATAACCAAGCCTAGGATACTTTGTCCCAATAACTGATGTGTTATAATCTAGCCTAGGACACTTTGTCCCAATCACTAATGTGGTATAACCAAGCCTAGGACACTTTGTCACAATGACTGATGTTGTATAACGAAGCCTAGGACACTTTGTCCCAATCACTGATGTGGTATAACCAAGCCTAGGACACTTTGTCCCAATCACTGATGTGGTATAACCAAGCCTAGGACATTTTGTCACAATGACTGATGTGGTATAACCAAGCCTAGGACACGTTGTCCCAATCAATGCGGTGGTATAACCAAGCCTAGGACACTTTGTCCCAATCACTGATATGGTATAACCAAGCCTAGGACACTTTGTCCTCAAGGACTGATGTGGTATAACCTAGCTTAGGACACTTTGTCACAAGGACAGATGCGGTATAATCAAGCCTAGGACACTTTGTCCCAATCACTGATGTTGTATAATCAAGCATAGGACACTTTGTCCAAATCACTGATGTGGTATAACCTAGCCTAGGACACTTTGTCACAATCACTGATGTGGTATAGCCTAGCCTAGGACACTTTGTCCCAATCACTGATGTGGTATAATCTAGCCTAGAACACTTTGTCATAAGGACTGATGTGGTATAATCTAGCCTAGGATACTTTGTCCCAATAACTGATGTGTTATAATCTAGCCTAGGACACTTTGTCCCAATCACTGATGTGGTATAACCAAGCCTAGGACACTTTGTCCCAATCACTGATGTGGTATAACCAAGCCTAGAAATTTTTCCCAAGGACTGCTGTGGTATAACCAAGCCTAGGACACGTTGTCCCAATCACTGATGTGGTATAACCAAGCCTAGGACACTTTGTCCCAAGGACTGATGTGGTATAATCTAGCCTAAGACACTTTGTCCCAATCACTGCTGTGGTATAACCAAGCCTAGAACACGTTGTCCCAATCACTGATGTGGTATAACCAAGCCTAGGACACTTTGTCCCAATCACTGATGTGGTATAATCTAGCCTAGGACACTTTGTCCCAATCACAGATGTGGTATAACCTAGCCTAGGACACTTTGTCACAATCACTGATGTGGTATAACCAAGCCTAGGACACTTTGTTCCAATCACTGATGTGGTATAACCAAGCCTAGAAATTTTTCTCAAGGACTGCTGTGGTATAACCAAGCCTAGGACACGTTGTCCCAATCACTGATATGGTATAACCAAGCCTAGGACACTTTGTCCCAAGGACTGATGTGGTATAATCTAGCCTAAGACACTTTGTCCCAATCACTGCTGTGGTATAACCAAGCCTAGAACACGTTGTCCCAATCACTGATGTGGTATAATCTAGCCTAGGACACTTTGTCCCAATCACAGATGTGGTATAACCTAGCCTAGGACACTTTGTCCCAAGGACTGATGTGGTATAATCTAGCCTAGGACAATTTGTCCTCAAGGACTGATTGAATATAATCTAGACTACGACGGTTTAACCTCAAGGATTGGTGGTAGTATACACAATATGGCGACTATTAGATGAGCAGACGCCTCGGATTTAAACACGTATAATTCTGCACGTAATGCTTGTATAATCTCATTCCGTTTGGTTTTGTCGAATATCGAAGATCAGATTGAAGCGAAATTTCGAATAAATGGAAATGGAGTTTCGGCTATTCTTTCTCCGATCAGACATCAAATATGGCAATTAGAATCTCGGTCTATAACTCAAAAGTGTTGGTCTGAATGAAATGAAGCTTGGTGTTAATAGCGATGGCCACGTCCAAATTGTCAAAATGCCTTGATAATCACGTTATAGTTGTGTTATCACTCTATAAGTTATAGCTCATTGCCCATGACTCCCGTGCAGCATGCATCACTGCTTCTCTGGTGTAAGGTATGTCCGCCAGAGATCAGATCATCTGCATTATTGTAGACAGGGTTCGATAGGTTATAGAATGTAATATTCTATTGACATCATTTCCGACAGAGTGTTATCACATATTGGGTCGCCAAAGGGAGACTTATGTTTGGTAAACATTGAGATTGTGCCTGATAATGATGAAACTTTAAGAGTTGTATGGTATAAGGAACACAACGATGACGTCCACTTTCTGATTCGACAAAACTCATTTTTTCATTTTTTCACCAAATTTGGAAAATTTTAACACAACATATACTTTTGATATTTAATTGGAGAAATGACCACCCTATAGTTACACGACTAATGTTTTGAAACTTTGGCATTATTTTGATGACATTTTTCTAACGCCAACAGAAGCTATTCTTGGGACGTAGGAATTTTGTACTTTTACTACTTAAAATCTTGATTCTGCTGTCATATTCTTTGATTTTTTAAGGTGGGGTGAAAAAAAAAATTTACTCATTATAGTATTTGGTTCATGATGCCAACAAGAGTTTCATACAATGCAGGAAGATTGTCTGACGAGGTCACATTTAACATGTACTTTTGAAGCGGTTCTGACGCTACCTGTTGTGTAATTCCATGCCCTGTCGCTGTACATGCGATGCAGACCGTTATTATGTCAGTACCTTCTAATTTCATTAAGTCAGAGTTATTCCTTATATTTTCCTCATTCATATCATCCGCATCCAGAAAAATCAGAAGCACATTCATTACATGCGGTCGATCGCCTTTAGACTGGTTGAACACTTGATTGTTGACGTCGAGTAAAGCCTGTCCAAGCTCATTGCCTGTTTGATCGGGATATACCAATGCATTACTAACAACGTGTAACATACTTGACTTGCTGGTGAACTGATCGAAATACATTTGTATTTGTGTGGTCTGGGTGAATGTAGCTACAGCCAGTCTCATGTTAAACAATGTGTTGATCAGGTATCTTACACAGTCCAGTACAGCATTAAATGAATCCAACGCAAAAGTCTTCGAACCATCAATTACAACAGCGAGGTCGATTGGTCGAACTGAAATAACAAAACAGTTGTCATGACAACGTCTCCGAGCATGATTACACCAGCATGTTTATTAATCAATAATTTATATGACTCGAAAGTTGAGGCTCAAACAAATCACTTTCGGTGATTTTTGTTGGGTAGACACAAAGTTATGATTTTGGCTTATAGCTGTTTTTTTAATTGTTGAAACGTTTGTAACTTTTACGATTCAGTATTACAATAATTAAGGTTGACATTTGATAATACGGACCTTACTCGTTCACACTGACTTTTGTTTTAGGTTTTTAGAATCAAAATATAGAACATATTGCTGGCTCGTCTAGTTGTTCCACCAAACATTTGTTGAATCTTTACATGATTACCATTCTACCGAATCAGGTTCAAAGTCTTATTGTGATTCTGTTGTCTGAAGAAGTGGAATTAATAAAATGTGTATTTTAGATCAAGATCTACATGGAGGGTGTCGTGGACGAAACAGAAGACGTTTACTTGTCTTGAAACACCTAGTCTTTTTCTTCATTTACTTTTCAATGAGCCGTCAGTTCAATCCTCATTTTGTTCATATATTGCACTAGTTGCTTCGAATTTCAAAGTGAATTAAGATTCTTTTGACTTGTCAATAATTTCGTTGTTTTCGTAATGAATAATAATACATAATAATGCATAATAATACATTCATTATATAAAACAATGTTCGCTTATTTAGCATTCATAGTGCAACTAGAATTAAAGAGAGATCTCATCCTTAACCCGGAAAATTAAATATATATATATTTACGATTCAGGACACAGGTGGAGTTCCCATTCGACAGCCGGACACATCGTTCTTGCGAGGCACACGGACGACTCTTGCAAGGACCAAGGCTTTCCTGGATCTAAAACAAAACACAAATGAAGTGTTGGCAAAGAGTCCTAGTTTGTATATGAAAGAATTAAGGTTGACCGGAATGCAAATTCTCTCGTCATATGTACTTCCTCTTACGGCGATAACGAATTTATATTTATTTGTCATTATGTGTACCAAATATTTGATTTTATTGAAATTATTTAATATTTGAATTAGTTACAAGACAGCCTGATAGTGTTCTAAGCGCATCCTACAGCTTTACAGATTTTTCTTCGTTCTAGAATCGTTAGTATAGCAAAAGACCTCAAATTTGAACTCAATGAGACGACTTAGGACATAAATCGATCGCAAGAAAAGCAAAGATATAGGTGGGGAAGTGAACTACTTCCTATTCTCGGCCCCCATTTGCTGTCAAGCTTATCGCTATGCTATCTTCTAGTTTACCCGGCGATAAATTCCGGATTACATGCGCAGTGCTCTTTTTTGCACTGACCAATTAGAACTATCGACACAGAAAAGTCCGCAAAACTTGACCTGGTTCTAAACTTTGTTGCTTGCTTTACACGTCTCTTCTTAATTATGATAAATGTTTTATCTAAACTACTCTATGACATATATTAATAAAATGATTCTCAGATTATTTCTTTAGAAGTGAATTTCTTGATTACATGCTTATTATATTTTCCTATGAATGGTAGGCTGGCAAAATTTGGACACAAAATCATGTTCTGAAATGAAAACAAACGAAAAACCATTCAAGCGTAAAAGCGTCATACCGAATGTTGCTGTTTTTATAACTTTGCACGTGCATTGCAGGCTATCGGTGTGTATCGTGTTACCTGTGCTTACATCTGTACTAGGGACGTACCCCGGCAATTCGCCATTGATAATTGACAAATACAGATATGCCACGACTTACACAGGAACAAAGAAACTGGGAAGTAGGAATGCTCCTCGACAACGTCATACAAACTGTCGTTGCCCGAACGTTCAACGTAACACGACTGACAATCGTTAAATTGTGGATAAAGTAAAGGATTCACGGAACGATAAAAGATCTTCCAAGAAGTGGTCGACCGTGTAAAACGTCCGCCAGAGAGGACATCCGCATTTGTCATCTCAGGGATCGTTATTTGACGTCGACGTTGACGTCACGACGTTGTTTTCGGAATCCTGTCAGTCCATGGAAAATTCGAAGAAGGCTGAAATCTTTGTCGTTAAAAGCTCGGCGACCATATAAATGTTTAGGTCTGTCACAACGTCATCGACGTCAGCGTCTTAAGTCGGCACGCCAACGTCGATTTTGTCTCAGCATAGCGATGGACGCTGTAAAGTATGGCGACGTTGTTGAGAACGTTTTCACGATAACTATGTACAAAAGTTCGATATTTGGGGAAGGGTAAGTGTTATGGTGTGGGGAAGAATCAGACATAATGACAAAACAGATCTGATCACGATTCCGATGAATCTTACTGCAGCAACGTACTGCGCTGAGGTACTGAACCAAGAGGTTTTACCACATTTCAGACGTAATGGCCCAAATTTGACGTTAATGCATGCCAACACCACCCCGCACACTGCGAGGGCAACAGAAAACTTCCTAAGGACCAATAACATTAATGTGTTGCCGTGGCCATCAAAATCCCCGTATTTAAATTCGATAGAGTACATTCTGGATTTCTTAAGCTGCCGTGTACGTCGACGCCAAAACCCACCAACAACTTTGACAGAACTTGAGCAGGCTCTCCACGAGGAATGGCGGATCATTCCTAGGAACACTATTCCACGACATACCAGGTCCATGAGGAGAAGAATCAACGCTGTGATTAACGCAAATGGTGGTCACACGCGATATTAAATAGACTTTGTATTGGACGTTTCCATTAATGACCCCTCATCACATTGTCAAATAACTGACGTCAGTGTTCCGGACATAACTTAACGCTTCATATAGTATGATTAACTGATAAAATGAAGCCTCAAAAGATACATAATATGTATTAGTTTGACATTTCTGCCTTAGAACGATTTCGCCTAAACCCCAATGTATACTTACTTTTGCATTTCAGTAGAAGTTTTGTATAATTTTATTTGTATCAGTAATCATATACTTTAAATGCGTTTATAAAAAAAAGTTCAGAAAAAAAACATTAATGTTGATTGTGGATATTATTCATACTGTAAGTCCGCCATGAAAATGTATTAAATGCCAAGAACATGTATGAAACGCCAAGAACATGTATTAAACGCCAATAACATGTGTTAAATGCCATGAAAATGTATTAAATGCCAAGAACATGTATAAAACGCCAAGAACATGTATGAAACGCCAAGAACATGAATTAAACGCCAATAACATGTATTAAATGCCATGAAAATGTATTTAATGCCAAGAACATGTATAAAACGCCAAGAACATGTATGAAACGCCAAGAACATGTATGAAACGCCAAGAACATGTATTAAACGCTAAGAACGTTTATTAAACGCTAAACTGTGTATTAAACGCCAAAAACATGCATTAAACGCTAAAATATGTATTAAACTCCAAGAACTTGTATTAAACGTCAAGAACATGTATATAACGCAAATAACATGTATTAAACGCCAGGAACGTGTATCAAATGCCAAGAACATGCATGAAACGCCTAGAACATGCATGAAACGCCAAGAACATGTATTAAACGCCAAGATCATGTATTAAACGCCAAGAACGTGTATTAAACGCCATGAAAATGTATTAAATGCCAAGAACATGTATGAAACGCCAAGAACATGTATTAAACGCCAATAACATGTATTAAATGCCATGAAAATGTATTAAATGCCAAGAACATGTATAAAACGCCAAGAACGTGTATGAAACGCCAAGAACATGTATTAAACGCTAAGAACATGTATTAATAGCCAAGAACATGTATTAAACGCTAAGAACATGTATTCAATGCCATGAAAATGCATAAATGCCAAGAACATGTATGAAACGCCAAGAACATGTATTAAACGCCAATAACATGTATTAAATGCCATGAAAATGTATTAAATGCCAAGAACATGTATAAAACGCCAAGAACGTGTATGAAACGCCAAGAACATGTATTAAACGCTAAGAACATGTATTAAACGCCAAGAACATGTATTAAACGCTAAGAACATGTATTCAATGCCATGAAAATGCATAAATGCCAAGAACATGTATGAAACGCCAAGAACATGTATTAAACGCCAAGAACCGTCATACATTCTAAACCAAGCCACCATATGAATGAAGTTAATATATGAATATGAATGCAACATGTCAACATCCAGACTCATTCTATATTTTCAATGAGAACAATTACCACATTAGATTTCTGATCACTATAGAACCATGATCGCGTGAATTTATTGGAAATTTGTCTTATCTCCAATGTAATGAATATAACATGACAACACGGGCACTTCTACATCAGCCGGTTATCTCTATCTTTTCCTACAGCGAAACCAACAGAGACAGCTTTCACCAAGTTGTATGAATGGATAATGATTTCACTGATAGTCACTGCTAGCTGCCTATCGCTTGCTATATATTATATATTCACTGCTAACTGCCTACCGCTTGTTATATTTTAAATGTTCACTGCTAACTGCCTACCGCTTGTTATATTTTAAATGTTCACTGCTAACTGCCTACCGCTTGTTATATTTTAAATGTTCACTGCTAACTGCCTACCGCTTGTTATATTTTAAATGTTCACTGCTAACTGCCTACCGCTTGTTATATTTTAAATGTTCACTGCTAACTGCCTACCGCTTGTTATATTTTAAATGTTCACTGCTAACTGCCTACCGCTTCTTATATCTTAAATGTTCACTGCTAACTGCCTACCGCTTGTTATATTTTAAATGTTCACTGCTAACTGCCTACCGCTTGTTATATTTTAAATGTTCACTGCTAACTGCCTACCGCTTGTTATATTTTAAATGTTCACTGCTAACTGCCTACCGCTTCTTATATCTTAAATGTTCACTGCTAACTGCCTACCGCTTCTTATATTTTAAATGTTCACTGCTAACTGCCTACCGCTTCTTATATCTTAAATGTTCACTGCTAACTGCCTACCGCTTCTTATATCTTAAATGTTCACTGCTAACTGCCTACCGCTTGTTATATTTTAAATGTTCACTGCTAACTGCCTACCGCTTGCTATATCTTAAATGTTCACTGCTAACTGCCTACCGCTTGTTATATTTTAAATGTTCACTGCTAACTGCCTACCGCTTGTTATATTTTAAATGTTCACTGCTAACTGCCTACCGCTTGCTATATCTTAAATGTTCACTGCTAACTGCCTACCGCTTGTTATATTTTAAATGTTCACTGCTAACTGCCTACCGCTTCTTATATCTTAAATGTTCACTGCTAACTGCCTACCGCTTGTTATATTTTAAATGTTCACTGCTAACTGCCTACCGCTTAACTGCTAACTGCCTACCGCTTGATATATTTTAAATGTTCACTGCTAACTGCCTACCGCTTGCTATATATTAAATGTTCACTGCTAACTGCCTACCGCTTGTTATATTTTAAATGTTCACTGCTAACTGCCTACCGCTTGCTATATCTTAAATGTTCACTGCTAACTGCCTACCGCTGGCTATATTTTAAATGTTCACTGCTAACTGCCTACCGCTTGCTATATATTATATATTCACTGCTAACTGCCTACCGCTTGCTATATATTAAATGTTCACTGCTAACTGCCTACCGCTTCTTATATCTTAAATGTTCACTGCTAACTGCCTACCGCTGGCTATATCTTAAATGTTCACTGCTCACTGCCTACTGCTTGCTATATCCTAATTGTTAACTGCTAACTGCCTACCGCTTGATATATTTTAAATGTTCACTGCTAACTGCCTACCGCTTCTTATATTTTAAATGTTCACTGCTAACTGCCTACCGCTTCTTATATTTTAAATGTTCACTGCTAACTGCCTACCGCTTCTTATATCTTAAATGTTCACTGCTAACTGCCTACCGCTTCTTATATTTTATATATTCACTGCTAACTGCCTTCCGCTTCTTATATCTTAAATGTTCACTGCTAACTGCCTACCGCTTCTTATATTTTAAATGTTCACTGCTAACTGCCTACCGCTTGTTATATTTTATATTTTAAATGTTCACTGCTAACTGCCTACCGCTTCTTATATCTTAAATGTTCACTGCTAACTGCCTACCGCTGGCTATATTTTAAATGTTCACTGCTAACTGCCTACCGCTTCTTATATTTTAAATGTTCACTGCTAACTGCCTACCGCTTGTTATATTTTAAATGTTCACTGCTAACTGCCTACCGCTTTATATAGTTTAAATGTTCACTGCTAACTGCCTAATACTTGTTATATTTTAAATGTTCACTGCTAACTGCCTACTACTTGTTATATTTTAATTGTTCACTGCTAACTGCCTACCGCTTGCTATATTTTAATTGTTCACTGCTAACTGCCTACTACTTGTTATATTTTAAATGTTCACTGCTAACTGCCTACTACTTGTTATATTTTAATTGTTCACTGCTAACTGCCTACCGCTTGCTATATTTTAAATGTTCACTTATTTAGAGGGCCAGTTAGATCAATAGGTCCGTTCTCCAACTGACCATATCGATTTCAGCTAAGTAAGGAAACTTGCTGTTCAAAACAAAAGTGCATTTGCTTTTGTCGATAATTATATAATTATTTTGTAAAAAAGAGATATATTTCCGAATGGAAGGTTCATTGTTCTTACAGAAATCGAACTCCCTTTGTATAATGTATTATGCTGCATTGCTGAAAGAGACTTAAAGTGATATAGATCTATTGAAAATTTTATAAATCAACATTGACATTGACTGTAGTAATAAATAGGAGAGGTATCTTTGATGACTTGGACAAATTGAATCAAGGCCAATCCTAAGTCATCACAACGATCAAATGTTAAGTGAAAGTAAATTTGCTGACATACATAAATCAATATGTCAAAAAACTTGAAATGGGCTATGGGAGTTTTGAGGTTGCTCTTTACCAAGGCTATTGATATCATGTATACTCTAATGGGGGCATTGTTTAATTAATTTTGTTGTTGTATACAAAACGACAGTAGAGTATAAAATCGTGACTCTCATTGGCGTCATTCAAACAAAATAACACACTTAACGTTTATGTATTGGAAACCATACAAAGTAATGTAACTCACTGCTTGATTAATATCCTAGCAAGTCAGGATAAAGAGACATATCTTTCCTTTGTGGTCTTCGAAACCATGCATCAATCTATTCCAATGTTGTACAAAAGTTAAACAAGTAAATGTCTTTCCTTTGTGGTCTTCGAAACCATGCATCAATCTATTCGAATGTTGTACAAAAGTTACACAAGTAAATGTCTTTCCTTTGTGGTCTTCGAAACCATGCATCAATCTATTCGAATGTTGTACAAAAGTTACACAAGTAAATGTCTTTCCTTTGTGGTCTTCGAAACCATGCATCAATCTATTCGAATGTTGTACAAAAGTTACACAAGTAAATGTCTTTCCTTTGTGGTCTTCGAAACCATGCATCAATCTATTCGAATGTTGTACAAAAGTTACACAAGTAAATAACACCAACATCAACGTTATCAAAAGAAAAAAAATTACAGGTATACTTTGTTGGTATCATTTAAATGAAAAGTAAATCAGGTTTATATGTTTTACAGTGTTTTATAGATTTCCTTTATTGTGCCATAACGATCTGCAAATTATTCTCATTTGTACAAAATACACTAGCTATATAACATCTAGTCCATAGTTCGTTTACGCGAGGAACCAAAGCTCGTTAGCGACCATGAAAAAGGAGAAATCTTTTCAGATATAGCGGGTATGTAATGCACGATCCTGATCTGTCACGGGATATCGTTGTGGCGAGATGTACAGCTGAATGGATATGACTTTGATGCATGCGCAGTAACATCGATCATGTGTTCACGACATCAAAGCTGTAGGTCTGAGAAAAAGTGAATAAACTAGATGGGCGTTGTATGTTGAAGTTCAGACACGAGACAGGTTCTGTTGTTACTAGGCTACTGTAAACGGTACCAGATGAAGTGCATACATATAACAAGTGTTCGGAATGGTTGAATTTAAAATCACAAATGAAAATCACAAATAATATTTAAGGACTATGGACATCTTCTCTGAATAAATATCACTTCAGAAAGAGACATTTTTTTATAAATTAAAACTTTGTTCTGAAAACATCTCAACTTTGTTGTAGTTTTATCTCGATCCTCTCCCTACCTAATTTCGTTCGGAAAACACAAACATACCCAGGCTACATACTTGTTTATGTTACCAAGATTTGAATTGACAGTTCGATAAATGAATTTATCTTTCAACTGGTGATATTTTTGCTGTATTCGGCAGTGAAGGAAATCAACTGCATTCTAGCATGTGCGGTAATTCGGCAGAATTACTTTCTGAAAATTACAATAAATTACTGTTGAAATAAGCGATTTCACATTTTAAAAGAACAAATTTATTTATATAAAAGAGCATAACAAGACAACAACAAAAGTGTTGACGGTTTAATTGTCTGATTTGCTGTCAGTGTTGTAGATTAAATAGAATAATATGACTATCTTGATAAATTTTAAATTGGATTGAATAGTGTTATCCTCATATGTTTCTTTTGTTCAATCTTTGGTGTACCCACGACAGTTACGTACCAGGAAGACAAAATGTGCATGTTACTTACCTTTCAACGATGAAATATTATTATCAATATAGCCTCGGTATATAGTATTATTATGATTTGATAGAAAAAAAATAGAAAGTTCATTTGAAACCTCAGTTTAACAACAAATTAACATATACTTACTAATATACTGTCGGTCACGTTCTGGCGGATGAAGAGGTCCTTGGTGAGTCCAGTATATACTTTGTTGTCGGAATACTGACCCAGAAGGCACTCCAAAGTGTCTGTGTTATAACTAATACTCTGGCACAGCATTGTCTGAACACATTCCTTCTGACAGCCTACAATTCCGATACTGTTAATCGTCTTGAAGGTACCATTATCTATGCGATATTTGATTAAATGTTCACTGTTGTCTACCATCTTGCAGTCTGACGCCAACACACCTTTAATGAACACTGCTAAAGAAACTAGAAGTGATTTTAGCATCTTGTATAACAGGAACGATAATCACACACGAAAACAAGTTCTTTTTCTTGTAGTAAACCCGTTAGAACCTATGATGTACAATGTATAGTGTATAATTTCTTCAACAGAGTTTGAAGAAAAATATACAGATTTTCCTCATTAAATCTGACATGAAACATCCGAAATCTAACACGACCTTATTGGCAGATCCCTAATGGGCAAATCAGCCTTTTATCCTATCATACAGCCTGTTCAAATTGTCCATAACTGAGTCCAATCAATATGTGACGACGCTTTACTCGTATGTAAAGATTTTCTATCCATGTTCATGAATACACGGTAAATCATGGCACAAAGTAAACACTTGTCCACTTAACCGTTTGACACCCGATCCATTCACAAATTCGGACGATGTTTGTTTTTCAAAGATACTGACCACATATATAGATTATGGGTAACGTTTGAAAATTGAGTTTGAATTATGATTGTGTTGATGTGTTAGTATTTTCTCGGTTTTTAAAGTGACAATCATTATTTTGAATTGATAAGCAGTCGTGCGGTAACAGTACAGAGATTTAGACGTATTGGTTATCGATATCTCTTTTTCCATGTAAATACAACGTATCATGTGTCAGGTATCTATCAGTTTCTAAACATGATGTTGTTGCTGTAATTTCCGCAGTTTCATTGACGTTTTGTGTAATTTTTTGTTTGAACTCGATCTCGATAGTGTTTTCCATCGCATAGACGCCATAAAACCTTCCAGAATATCTTATTTCCATTGTCCTTTTACAAGGATGTCGCTTTAAAACTTAATTTTGTTCAAATTTTGCCCTTGGTTTATTGGACTTGATTTTGGATTACGATTCTGTTGATATGTTGGCGTTTTCTTACCATATTCCAGATATATTCCGATGGTTTTAGGAATTATTAAACGTGGAACTATTCATTTGCTCAGAATCATAACTTTTGCCGTAGCAAGGGAGATAACTCTACTTTGTTTAAACTCAATTCAAAATCTCACCTTCAATGACCATCACAGAAATTTAAGTATCAACTTATCAATTAAACAAAATATGATGCAACAGCTGATTGTAGCTGACCTAAGAGTTATCGCTCCGTCAGCTTGCTCTTGTTCTACTTATAACTGTGAAACAACAGCTGATTGTAGCTGACCTAAGAGTTAACGCTCCGTCACCTTGTTCTACATCTACTGATAACTGTGAAACAACAGCTGATTGTAGCTGACCTAAGAGTTAACGCTCCGTCAGCATGTTCTTGTTCTACTTATAACTGTGATACAACAGCTGATTGTAGCTGACCTAAGAGTTACCGCTCCCTCACCTTGTTCTACATCTACTTATAACTGTGATACAACAGCTGATTGTAGCTGACCTAAGAGTTACCGCTCCCTCGGTTTTTTCTGTGATAAAACTGGGACACATAATGAATCGCGAGTTAAATATCGTTCAAAATGTTAAGCTACGAGAGCTTTTCATGAAGGACATTAGATATCGCGAAAACGTCGTCCATTGAAAACTATGCAAGATAATGGGTGAAACAAGAACATGCTGACTGATATCAGGACTCTCGGCCTGATAAGGGGTGTGATATCAAAATGATCACATGATAATCTCTAAACACTGTTAGTGCAGTGATTTAAGTAATGGTTACATCAAGTGATGATGTAACTTTTCCAATGATGAAATAGCTCTCGTAGTTATGACCTCTCTTCCGGGTAGCAACCATAATGGCGTCCAGCAAGTGATCGGATAACAAAAGTATTTATTTCAGTTTTTCAAGGTGACAAATAGGCTTCTGGGTCAGGGTATGTGATATGGGCCCACCGACTCCATCAATCACCACAAGAAACCTCGCCAAAAGCTACAGGCCTATGATGACTGATGAGTAGGGTCATCAAGCCCATAGTCCCCCTCCACTCACAGCCAAATGTTAGAATATGACACCGGACAATGGAGCTACTTAGCAGATCATGTGGCTGGTCATGGCACTACAAAGTCAATGTCACTACATACAGTGCCATTTGCGTCCAGTTACACATGAACTGTACAGAATCATTTAGTGATAAGTATTACAATGATTAATATAATAATAATAATAATAATAATATACAACATTTATATAGCGCACTATCTATTTTGACAAAATACTCTAATGCGCTTCACAATTACATAATAATCTTACTACAAAATTTACAGAACATGTATAACACAGTAATCAACATATGTAACACACACACATACAGCTAGTGAAATCTTTCAGATTGTTCTATTTATTCCAAGACATAGGAGAGAATAAAAACATTAGCATAAGCACTTAAGTCAATGTCACCCTTTTTATTTCAATAGATATAGACTGAAGCAAAATTTGTCTTTCATTGACGTATTTCGGACATGTAAAGAAAACGTGACCTACATCTTCAATATAATCTCCACAAATACAATTTGGATTATCAGTTAGATGATCCAGTAACAAATAATAGTTAAGTTGGCTTGCATTGTTACGTAATTGACATAGTATTATATCATATTTCCTTGAACCACCAAACTTAAAAATGTTGGTACAATCACACGGATTTGAAGAAAGTGTACTTTGTATAGATAATTCATGTTTTAATTGTCTTAATGATGTCATTTGTGGGAAATTACAGTCTGGCTTGTTCCATAAGGTCATCGTACTTCGGAATAAGCTATTCTTATATAGTTTAGTTCTATATAAGGGAGATGCAAACAATCTTTGGTGTCCGAGATGGGCATTAGTATCAGTGTTAAAATATGGTACAATGCATTCATACAGATAATGAGAACAGTCATGCTGCAGTATTTTGAAGAATAATATACACTGATGATCATAACTCCTTTTTTAATGTACCAATTCCAGATTCCTTGTAGATTAAGTTATGACTAGTACCTCTTCTTAGCCCAGTTATAATTCGAAGGCAGTCTAACTGAACTGATTCTAGAAGATCACTTTCACCCTGTGTACAATTATTCCAAACAATATTCCTATATTCAAGTAATGGCCTTATGAATGATTTGTAGATAATTTCAAGTGATTTTCTATCAAGTTTATGTTTCAGTATTCGCATAATTTGTTGTTTAGAGCAACTATTTTCATAAATATAATTAATATGATCTGACCATGAACCATGGCTGTTAAAAAACAAACTAAGATGTTTATGAAAATTGACATTGATAACATTACTGTTAGATAAAATGAGGTCAGGATAAGCTGTCTCAGGGTTAATCTTCTTCGATATCAATAGAGATTCTGTTTTGTTTTGATTAAATTTAACACCCACTTATCTGCCCATTTAGTTATTTTTCTTAAATCTTCATTAAGAATATTAGCAAAGAGTTTGACATGGGAAAGGAGGTCATCTTCAAGGTCATTAATAAATATAAGGAATAAATATGGCCCCAAAACTGAGCCTTGTGGCATTCCTGCCTTTAGCGTTTGTAAGTTTGACTTATAACCATCTAATAACACCCTTTGGTGCCTGTCAATTAGATACTATTTAATCCAGATAAGATTACTGTGTGTTATACCATATTTCTTCAGTGTATGAATTAAACCACCATGTATCATGAATCGTGAATTTACGCTGACGTTAGCTGAATTATTGCTGACCAATACAATCCTTAAATCAATACATACTAACTTTATCTAGGAATAGGTACATAGATAATACGTATATAGAAATAGATACACATACAATTGTATACTGCGTAATTTAATGTGATGGAATCTTCCTGGTCAGTTTGTAAAGTAATCCTACTTCACATACTTATAATGTTTAATGTCTTGCCACATCAGCGTAAATGGTAATAACTAAAGATACACATTAGGTCTGATAATAAATATTAGATCAACGGTACATTTATAACTTTTAATGAAACCAATAATCTATTTTGTTTCTGCTATATTTTTCTATAATTACTCTTTCCTAATCAGCCATCTGGCTGCAATGTTTCCAAAATAGTGTTACCTGACACTATAGCGCTCTGTTGTTTGCTCTTTTTACGATGCTATTTGATGCCTGAACACAGATTAAAGTTTAATGCCGCCCTAAGAAGCTTTTACATTCAATTAAACAACGATAATAGGACGTCATTAGATATTCATCGCCGACTTTGCGGTGGCCTGACACAGTTAAATCTAATTAATTAGCGGCATTATGATAATGAACGGAAAATATTTTCAACTCTAATACTGGAAGCTACCTTCGTTCTGCAGTACGGCTCGTTCAAAGTCAGGCAGAAGTGTACTGCTGGTGGAAACGTATCGTTCAGAGTCAGTCCAACGTGTACTTCAGGTGTAAACGTATCATTAAAAATTAGCCAAAGTGTACTTCAGGTGTAAACGTATCGTGCAAAGATAGTCTGAAGTGTAGTTCTGGTATAAACGTATTGTTCAAGGGCAGTCCGAAGTGTACTTCAGGTGTAAACGTATCGTTCAAATATAGTCTGAAGTGTAGTTTTGGTGTAAACGTAACTACACACTAGCAATTTCCTTGTAATGAATAGAGGTTATAGTTCTGTTTCATAAACAAAAAACGTTTTATGAATGACAAAATGTTTTGTTTTCCATTTATTCAAAAAGTATCTGCTGTATTTATTGGGGTAGAAATATTGTGTCACCAACTATTGTCATGAACACGAAAACGTCGATACAGCCCACCACAAATGATTTGAAGTCCCAATAATTTGAAGACTTTTCACTATTCTCTTGAACATCGAATCACAGAAGTTTGAATCTATGAGCTGCATGTTAAAATAAATAAAAAAAACATGGTTATGCTTTCGTAAATAAATGAAAACAAACTATTTCAAATCGGTACAAATTAAATGTGTTCAGCGACATAACAATGGCCGCGATGGATAATGGGACGAGAAACACTGTTTTTTTTTTTTTTTTTTTTGTACTTTTTCACA